GTGTCTTTCTTTCACTCTAAATTCAGACTTTTCAACATTATTCTCTGCACAAAAATCCTGAAAAATCCATCAGATTGATACCCTAAAAATACAAAAAAGGGTTTTTTGCATCTATCAAGTTGGCTAAAATTGCTTTCTGAGTTGTCTTTTAGAATTGAAAGGTTTTCTTATGAAAAATGGTTGGTTTTCCATGCTGAAAATAGTTGGTCATTGAAGCTGTTTGTTTTTTATTCTCACTGCTGATGTTCATTCTGCTGGTTTAAGTTGCAATTTTGAAGTCCAGGCTGCTCCTGGTTTCCCTGTTGCTATCTTTCTCTACAAGTAGGTGTACTTATCAATCTGGTTAGTCTCTATTTGGTTTATAAATGAAATTAGATTGTTTATGCTATATTCGTGTAATGTTTTATCATCATTTCAGCATGCGTTCAATTTGAATATGTTTTGGTTTCATCTTTGTTAATCTGGACAATTGTTGGAGTGTTAAGATTATGTGGATGCTTTGCTGAAGGTCAATAGTTGACTGAACAGTTTTGAGTGCCAGTATGTTCCTTTGTTTTCTTTTGCTTTCTTTCTTTTTTGGAGTATGTGTGAGTTCCCTTAGGTTTACTTCATGGTAAAGTGGTCTGGGAATTTGGTTCATAAAATGGCTTTCGTTTCTGGTTGTGTAATTCTTAAGCTGAAGTTTTTGTAGCAATTCATAGGTTAGCAAAGTTTGATTCAAGTTTGCCTACATGCCTTGTGACTTAACTATGATGTCTTGAATGGTTGTTGGCTATTGATGCTTGTCAATATAGATTCAAGTTCGGTTTCTTTGAAATAACAATTGAAAGAAGTTTAGAAGGCCTTTTTCTCATGTTTTGAAAGTCATGAAAGGCCGTAATAGTCCTGATTGCTTGTTCTTGTATTTTCAACTGTAACATGTTGGATGCAGATTTGCAAGATAGCTCTGTAGCTATCTGTGTAAATGCAAATGTTGTTCCTTTTATCAAGTTACATAATCTGGAGTCATTACGCCTTTGCAGAAGATGGGAATGCTTTGGAGAAGCTTTCAATGATAGCTAGTTAGACCTTAGGACTGCTGAGTTATTATTAAAATTTCTTACAAATTCATTTATAATGATCCTATTTGTACAACTTAATTTAATTAATTTTGTTCATTAACTAGTCAGAAGTTCATTTCCATGATTTATGTGATTATCATTGAGTACTTTCGTTAAAGTCAGTTGGTTTTAGTAATAACTGGGCCAAATGTGGACCTAAATGAGTAGCCTGGTCAGGAACCACTCCAATGGGTCTGGACCTTCTCCTCATGGGCTGGGTTCGACTTCAGGGTTCAAATAATGCCAGCGTATTTTTGTTTTTTTTGTTTTTGATAAATGCGATCAATTGGGTTCTTGATCTTTCTGCCTAATTTCTGGAACCAAAAGCATGTTGTATGAAGTTGGGCCTGTTATTGGCCTAGTCAAAGTTGTTGGACCGCCTGCTCTTTGCAATCTCATATGGGCTCCATTTCGAGCCCAGGTTCTATTTTTTCCTAAAAAATATTTTTCTTTATATAACAATTTGGGTCTGTCGTTGGCCAATCTCTTTTTAAACAGTTAAATGCTTAGTATATTATTCAATGCCTACTTACAAGTTGCAACTAGTAATTTTAGAATTGAGCTTTAAATAGATTAAGCTGGTAAATCCATAGTTCACTTTAATTAAATATAGTGAGGTGAGTCATCCTAATTAAATTACTTATGGCCCTCACTAATGTCATAACTTAGGTGCTAAAGAATGAATTTCGTAGTTGCTTTAGGTACGTTAATTAATTAATTATCATGGCTACGGGTATGGTTCCCATGACGTAGTTGTGAGTTGTAATTACTAAAATCCGGGTGTACATTTCATGTGACCCGATTCTAATCTCCAACAAGGTTAAGTAGAACGTGTCGTGAATTATGAGTGCATTTACGATGTGTTTTAAATAACCTTGAATTTTCCTAAAAACATTAAAAATGGTTAGGAAGTTTAAAATGCACGTAGGTTTTAAAATGTGTAATTAATCAGATAATTAGGCCAATATTATTAGTTAAGCGACCGTGCTAAAACCACGGAACCTGGGAATGTCTAACACCTTCTCCCGGGTTAACAAAATTCCTTACCCGGATTTCTGTGTTCACAGACCATAAATAAGTATCAATTTCCTCGATTCGGAATTTTAAACCGGTAACTTGGGACACCATAAATTATCCCAAGTGGCGACTTTGATTTAATATAAATAATCTCGTTTCGATTGTCACTTAAATTGATAAAAACTCCCTTATATCCTTTTCGAGGGTAGAAAAAGGAGGTGTGACAGGTATTGTATAATAGTTTTTATCTAGTCTAAATGTTATGTTAAAATATTTTTAAACAAGTATTTTTCATAATTAGTTAGTTTTGGTATATTGAATGAAGACTACTCTTTATAGGGCATGGGGAAATTACCTTGTATTTCTTATTTGAAAGTCTTTTTGATTCTTAGGTAAGCATTTCATTTGTGATTTTAATCTCTTGGCCCTTGATTTGATTTCTAATTGTTGAATTTTAATTAATATGCCTAAGTTTGCTTTTAGGCGAATTAATTGTAGCTTTTATTAGATTCTAGTATTTCTTTTTTTAATTTTTCAATATCTTATTTTATATTTAAAATTTGGTTTTGTTTGATTTTTATTTTTGCGGTGGTATCAAATTGGTATCAATCTAGAGGGAAGAAGCATAACGTGAAACGCTGATAAAGATAAGAAATTTAAAATAAAACATTTGGTGATCCTTAACCAATTACCAATTAGAAAAATGTGTACTTGCTAACTATCTCAGTTCTCAAAGTCAACAAAAGAAATAAGTTAGTGGGAGTAATTAATAAGATATTCAACAATCTAATCTTACTAACTATTTGAGTAGCGGAGGGACATAATTCACTAGAAAATGGTAAAACCCTAATCTCATAAATGCTAAAGACTCATTGCAACAAAAAATAATAATTAGAAATACTAAATTTTTTTATCAATTCATTCTTTAAAAGTTTGAAACTACAATTTTGAACAGCAGAATGAAAATAAAATATTCATAATAGTAAAACTTACCCTAAGGAGTAAGGAATAAAGATGAAAGTGAGGACCAAAATAATTAAGAGAATGAGGGAATGAAGCCACAAGATAGCTTTATATACCTAAAGGTAAATTATACTTTTGATAAAGCTTATGGGTTTTACGGTCAAAATCGTTAGTAAAATTGGACAAAATGAGATCCGAATTGATAACCTAATAGTCAAATAACATTAAATTATTATAGAACCATTAACCCAATAATCCGATATCAATAACTCAATAATATGTTTTTGATTCAAATTATTGATTTTAGCCGATATAGCGCAACCCTAGACGAAGGGTAAAAGCTCTCTTAAACAAAATCCATAATTTGTTTACTTATAATTTTTTTAGCTATTCGATAATTGCATTGTCACCCTTATTTTTATAATCTTCTTTGCAAATTTGAAAGCATAATTACATAAATGACGTGGCCGCCTTTATTTACTGTAGGTCCACACAAAGGTCACCCATTTGAATGAGCTTGTTTTAAGTGACTTTTAAGCCAAAAGCCATAAGTTAAAAATTTTAATTTTTGATTTTTGGCTTATTTTTATCATTTTAGCTTAAAAATAAGTCTTGAAATACTTACACAAATATCCCAAATAAGTCTCAACTTATCAACTTCTAGCCATTAGTCATAGACTTACCAAAACTAGCCAAACACTTATAAAGATTGAAAAAAAACAAATAAATAGGATTCGTTCTCTCAAAGAATCATATGCACAAATCTCCTTCCATATTTTTAATCGTGATTAGCAACATTAGATGCAAGACGGAAAATAAACTTCATGGATGAGGTAGCAAATAAGGTGATGAAATACAAAAAAAAATACAATATTCCAAAAATCTAAGCAAAAAAGGAACTTTTTCAATGGGTATAGTTAAAATTTACAGAAAACATATAGATAAGTCAATATACAAAATTTGAGAAAGATTTGAGGTGATTTGGACTGGTTTTGTATCAAAATTCATAATTAAATTGAGTTTAAAATATTCTTATGTGGCACATGTATCAAACATGTATCACACATGGATCAAACATGTATCACATGTATCTCATGCACAAGTATACATGGATATACATGTGATACACAATTGATACAAATATGATACATATGTGATACACAAATGATACATAGTGTGATTTACATATTGTTTTTTCAAGTTCAGTTTTTAATTCACACCACCTCAAAACTTTACCAAATCATTCCAAAACTGAGATTCAAGCTCCTTAAGATGTACCTAATCTACTCTAATAACATCCACTTAAAAGAAAGCAAAAATTTAATATTTTTTTTAAAAATAGCTAATTGGCTAATAATAATAGTATTTAGCTAATATTAGTAATATTTTGTGAATTGACCAATTTTTGTAATGAGCTACTTATAAATGTACATAGCTGGTAGTTTCTCATAAGTGCTTAAAAGTACTTTTTGACTTTATCCAAACACTACAAAATGACTTACAAAAATGTTGGCTTAAAAGCACTTAAAATAAGCCAATCCAAAGGGACTCAAACTCAAACTACGAGCCCGTTTGGACATAAAAAAAGTTTACTTTTTTTCGAAAAATTTTCACTTTTTTCGAAATCAGTGTTTGACCATAAAATTTCCAATTTTCACTTGAAGATGGATTTTGAAATTTTTCAAAAATTTGAAAAACTCCAAAAAGTTATTTTTCAAAATTTTCACTCACAAAACTTTAAAAACAACCCAAAATAATATTTATATCCAAACACAACTCTAATTTTCAAAGACCATTTTCACTTGGAATTTCTTTTCGCTTTTTTTTTTTGGAATTTTACAATTCCTATGTCCAAACGCCCACTACAATTGTATAGGGCCAAATTAACAATTTGACCCGACACACAACCCGGTTTCCCGTCAAAAGCCCAGCTAAAGCCCTCGCGACTTGTATAGAGAATTTCACTGAAGCAGCAAACAATCAATGTCCGAATTCGAATCACTGAATCATGTACGGCGGTGGCGAGTACCAGTTACTTCCTTTCTCGAGTGTTAAATACTTCTATTTACGGCTTTAACATTTTTCTTAGTATAAGCACAAGAATTCAGCGCGTTTTTTTGTTTGCATTTTTATTTTTTGGGTCTACAGATGAAGTATCAGCAATTGTGATAGATTTGGGTAGCCATACTTGCAAAGCTGGTTACGCTGGTGAAGATGCTCCCAAAGCCGTTTTCCCTTCTGTAAGTTATAAAGTTTTTGTCCTTTTTAGGTTGCAAATTAATAATGCAGCTTTCAGTAAGATGTTCCAAATCGTTCTTTCGGTCCAAAGTTCAAATTTTTTGAAAGCATAATTACAAAACAGTAGCTTTTTATAGTTACGTGTACCAGCATTTTAAACGTTATATACATTATCAGGTTATTTAATAGACAATTACAGGTAACTTTCACCTGTCTATAGCAAGTTTGAGGTGGTAACCTCGAAAAGAAAGTACATAGCTTGTTACAACTGGTGAAATTGTGGAAATAATGTAAAAGAATTTTACACTGATAGAGTGATAGTTTAAATCCATGGAATTTTGGGAAATGCAAGCCTGAACACCAGATTTGACTGCTAAAGATGAAGCTTCTAAAGTTTAGAACTTTGGTCATAGGCAGCAACTTTGAACTTTCATGGCATTTAAGATGCAATTGAGGTGTATAGGGTAGTAGTAAATATGGATTGACATGGCTTTAGCACGCTACTATTTGCCTGGCATTCAATTTTTATTATTATTTTGGGGATTAATGATTTTAATATAGATCATGAACTTTTTTTAATTATTTTTTTATTTTTCTTGAAGAAATTAGAATATTTAGAAATGAAACTCATTAACTAGAATACCAAAAGACTGAAATTGGGAGATTCCACCAACTTTCCCTTCAGCATTTATAAAATTTATCAGGTATAATTTGAGAAAATAGGAAACTTTACATTGTTTTCTCATCTACATGGTGGAGAAACTTGAGGACTATTAGACTCAAAGGCTAGAGAATCCCATAGCCCATGTGATGTTTTTTCCCCTGGAGTGCATCAACGCGTGGATTATTTGTTATCAAATAAATTCTTACGGTAGCTGTATGCTCTTTGTCAGGTCCTCAAGAACAATCCCTTCAAACAAATTTATACCTTCTTTTAGGTTGAATAGTTGTTGAATATGATTTGGGAATGTGATACTTGTAATGGATTTACATGGGAACTTTTACCACATTTAAATGCCAACTCTATGTTATTACCATGAGACCGCTATTATAGATTATCCTGCAAGGTGTTGTAGCTCTAACATCTAAGTAGCTTCTATGCTTGGGGATTTAATACAAGACTTACACATCTCAATCCGTTATGTTTTTTTTTTGGGTCATGGGGAAGCAATCTTGTAATTTGTAAATGCTTGCCCTTAATCTATGTCAAGTGTTTCCTTGGGATAAAAGTCAAGCTGCTACCAGAAGGTTTTGGTTCCTTGACTTGAAATATTTGGCTATCCATTGAAAGAGAGGAATCCATTTGCCATCTATAGCTATTTAATTGCGGCATGTGGTTGATATGAATGTTATGGCCACTTGTGCTGCTATTGTCATATTTTTCCAGCTAAGCGGCTACTAGTAATATTGCAATGTGTTCTATTTACAACAAATGACTTATTATTCTTTTACTAAAAATGGATCTCAGTGTTCTACGTTTTGCTGTATGCATCCCATGTCAAGGTTTCTTTCTTTATTCCAAAGCCTGCTAATGGCTTTCTTCTTTTCAACTCATACACGAACAAATATCAAAGGAACCAAGTACAGGTTGTCCATTCTCTATCAATCTTATTATAAAGAAATGATGCAGTTCATCACATAGTTAATGGAGGTAAAATTAGTTAAGAAAACTAATGGTGCAGTAGATGAATACTGAGAAATACTTTTTTTTTGTTTTTTTGATGAAGTAAGGTGTTCCATTAAAAAAGCATCAAGAAGATGCATAGTTACATAGTTACAGGAGGCCTAGTTACAAAGGCAAAAACAAAAAGGAGAAGTTAGGCCCTATACAAAGTGTCAATCTAGGACAAGAGTACTAACAAAGTCCAAAAAATGAGTAGTACTAATTACAGGGGACAATTTTGTCCAGCAAAAAAGTTCAAATAGGCATTTTGCCTTGAGAGAGTGATTTGAAGTTGAGATGCCATCAAAACATCTTCTATTTCTCTTTGTCCAAAAATAGCTGCAGGAATTATCAACAAGATTTTCTTGATGGCCTTATCAACTTTTCACAAACTCCAACTAATGTGTGCATGTCTCATATTTTGAGGCATAACCCAGCTCAGACCAAAAATACTGTAGAACATATTCCATATATCAGTGGCAACTGGGCAGTGCAGGAACAAATGACTGACAGTTTCCTGATTCCTCCTACAAAGGTAGCATCCGTTGACCAGCTGGAATCCTCTCCTGTTAAGGTTGTAGGTTGTCTTGTGTTAAACAAGTTTCATATAATGCAATCCAATTGAAGCATATAACCTTAATAGGTAATTTGGTCCTTTATATCAATTTCCATGGCCAGGCATCAAGCATCTGATTTTGAGTGCAGTTTGCTTGTAACACTCTTTGACTGTGAAGATACCCTTGCTGCCCCAACACATAGTGTTTGAAAGATCTTCATCAATGTTGTAGCTTTCCACTCTTGCTAGCATTTCCATCAAACTTTCCATTTCCCAATCTTGAACAGACCTTCTCAGATGCACATTCCAGTTGTTGTTGCTCCTGTTCTGAGCAATTGAGGAGTTCTTGTCAATGGCAATTTGGAAAATGCTAGGATAATCATCCATAAGGGCCGTGTTATTCAGCCAAATGTCCTTCCAAAATCTGATGTGCTCTCCATTACCCGGTTTGAAGTGGATCTTCTGTAAAAAATCATTGTTCAATTTGCTAATAAACTTCCAGGGACCAACACCATAAGGGGCATTTGCAATTTTAGTGCTCCAGTTGTCTCTTTTCCCATGTTTTGCATAAATCACCTTCTTCCAGAGACTTGGCTCACTTGTACCATACCTCCATAGCCACTTCATCAGCATACTTTTGTTGTGGATTGCTAAATCTTTGACCCCCAGTCCTCCATTGCTTTTCGGTTGTATGACTTTATCCTATTTTATCAAATGAAATTTGTGAGAGCTGTTATTCCTTTCCCAAAGGAAATCTCTTCTGATTTTATCCAATTGCTTTAATACCTTTTTAGGGATAGGGAACAAAGACATATAATAGATAGGTATGCTGTCAAGCACACTGCTGATAAGAGTTAATCTACCTCCCATAGATATATATTACATTTGCCAAGTGGCCAACCTCTTTTCAAATTTTTCTACAACACCATTCCAAATTTCACAATTCTTGAATTTGGCTCTCAATGGGAGGCCCAGGTAGGTGGAAGGAAGTGCCCCAATGTTGCAACCCATCGTTCCTGCCAACTCTACTATGTTGTTCACATTGTTGACCGGATAGATAATGCTTTTCAGCTTGTTGATATGTAATCCTGACAAGGCTTCAAAGAGTAGGAGGTGTGAGATTCAGGTATAGGAGCTGTGCTTTTTCTGCCTCACAAAAAATCAGAGTATCATCAGCATACAGTAAATGAGATATAGTAATTGTATTCCCAACATTGGTGCCAACTCTGAAGCCTTGAATCCACTACATTTGTCTGGCCTTTTCCAACATCTTACTTAGACCTTCCATAGCTAATACGAACAAAAATGGGGAGAGTGGATCACCTTGTCTGATCCCTTTTTGGGGGGAGAAGAAACCCACAGGGGATCTGTTAATTAAAATTGAATATTTAACCGTAGAGATGCAATACCTTATCCATTTTAACCACTTTTCACCAAAGCCCATCTTCCTCAAGATAGATATTAGGTATGACCAATTCAATTTATCAAAAGCCTTCTCTATATCCAGCTTGCACATAACTCCAGGTTCTCCAGTTTTAATCCTCCAATCCAAAACCTCATTAGCTATGAGAGCTGCATCAGTTATCTGCCTTTGTTTGATAAAGGCATTTTGATAGCTAGAGACTAGCTTCCCAACAACCAACTTCAATCTCTCTGCTAGAACCTTGGCAACTATCTTGTAAACACTTCCAATAAGGCTAATTAGCCTGAAATCCTTGAGTTCAACAACACCCTTCTTTTTAGGTACTAAAGCAATGAAAGATGCACTGCAAGACCTCACCATGTAGCAATGCTGGTGGAAGTAGTTGAGGGCCCCCATGACCTCTGCCTTAATGAAACCCCAAGATTTTTGGAAGAATGCCATCGTAAAACCATCTGGCCCTGGGGCCTTATCAGGAGCACATGATTGAATGACGCTAAGCACTTCATCTTCTTCAAACCCTTTTTCTAGCAACTCTCTGTCTGCCTTTGTGAGTTTGGCTACTTCCTCAAAGCTGGCAGTAGGCCTCCACTCTTCACTTTCTTTGTAGAGATTCTGGTAGTAATTCAAGATCTCCTCATTGATCACTTCCTTGTCTTCTGTGATCTTATTATCAATTTTGAGCTTGTCAATTGAGTTGTATCTTCTATGAGAGTTGGCCTTTGTTTGGAGGTATCTTGTATTCCTGTCCCCTTATTTTAGCCATAGACATCTTGATTTTTGTCTCCATGAAGTTTCTTCAGCTTTAGCAATTTCCATTAGCTCCAATTTCATATTAAGTAAACTTTGTTTTTCAGGCTGAGTAGGAGTTCTGTTCTCTGTTGCCTGTTCTAAAGCTAAAAGCTCCTCTAGAACTCTGCTTCTTCTTGTCTCTAGCTTTCCATAGACTACCTTGTTCCATTTAGAGATGTCTTTCTTCAGGTTTCTCAGCTTCTGAACAAGTATAAAATCCGGGCTGTCACTAATCAATAACCTTGCCACCACTCCTTCACCATGTCCATAAACCCCGCTTGCTGGAGCCACATATTTTCAAACTTGAAGTAGGATGGAGCTAAAGACCAGTCACCACTTTCTAGCATTAGAGGCTTGTGATCTGAAATAGGTCTTGTCATTGCCAACTGTTTGATAGACTTAAAGCTCTCATTCCATTCTATAGAGATAAGGAACCTATCAATTCTTGAGGCCCGTGAATTGTTTTCCCCCTTGACCATGTGTATTGTGCCCCGTGTAAAGGTAGGTCGATTAGCTGAAGATCTGAGATTATTTCAGAGAAGTTTCTCATAGCTTTGGTTCTTCTGTTGCAATTGTATCTCTCAGCCTAAAATCTGCACACATTGAAATCCCCTCCTATAACCCATTGATCATTCCAGATACCCCTTATTGCTCCCAACTCTTGCCAGAAGTCATTCCTGTTTGTGTTGTTGTGTGGGCTGTAAACTCCTGTAAAACCCCACCTGAAATCCTCTTGCAGACTCTCAAGGATGCATGTAATTGAAAAACAACCTTGGTGAGAGTCAATAGACCTCCACAATCTCTTGTCCCATAAGATAATAATACCTCAACTCTTGCCGTTTGCCCCAACTCTACCCAATCAGCCCACCTATTCCCCCATATCTGAAAAATCATACTTGATGGTATGCCATCCATTTTGGTTTCTTGTAAACATAAGATATCAGCTTTCCACCTTCTGACTAGTGAAGCTAGAGTGCTTCTTTTATTCTTATCATTTAGCCCCCGAATGTTCCAACTGAGAATTTTGACCTTCATCTGGACAGTATCTTGCAATGCCGGTCCCGATCACTTTTCTTCCTCCCATCATAGTTGATGCCGCAAATTAGATTCTGAACTTCAGTTTCCCCTTTCTTTCTCCCCTTTCCTTTCTTACTGGAAGTAGAAGGAGATCCTATTTTTTGTAATTGAACATGTCTCTTCTGGTCCATTCTTAGAATTAAGTCTAGAATTTCATGTTTAAAGCCGGCTATATTGATCCCAAAATCCTTGCATGCCTTTCCCATAACTAGTTTTGTCCATTTAGAAGTCTCTATTGTTGTTGGTTGCTGAATTACTTGGTGAATTTCTTGTAGCTCCAATGCCTCGCCGTCATGCCAAGAGAGGGGAAGAGATTCACTGTGAGAATCAGTGTCAGAATATACCAGAGCAGTAGACGCATATTCTGACCAATTCAACCTCAGTGAAAGACCTTTGAGATTGTTGATGAAAGTTTCAGCTTCATCAGCATCATCATCGGCTTCTGAGAGGGGGATAACTGTTGAGACCTGCGTAGTTGATTCCATAATGACTGGGTTGACATGGGTCTGCTGAAGATCACCAGATGAGAGAGGCACATCGTTACTGTGAAGAAGACGGGGGTCTGGTAAAATTCTGATGGCACGCCAAGACTGTGAGCTAATGGGTTTATTTGTCTTTGACTTAAAATAGGCCTTCTTGTGTGGGCCTTTTAAATAAAAGTTTATATTTTGCTGGTACTCTACTAATGTCTGAGTTGTTGGCTTCATTGGGCCTGATTATAAAATTCCCTTGCTTGGCCCGTGAATTAATGAGACCGGGTAGAGGGCCCGATATTTTTGAATTAAAGTGCCCTATGTCCAGCTGTCTGTCTAATGCAGCTTTTGAATTAATGTGCCCTTCCACGTGCTGTGATTTGACCAGACTGTCGACACCATTACCCAAATTCACCGTTGCTTTGATTGATGAAATCCCCAACCCTTCTTCTCCGGCCTTTCGAACTGGTTTTGGTGTTGCTGCCACATCCTTCAAAATTGAGATTTCATGTCTCCAATAGTCCACTTCGAGCTCTATCTTATCTGGGCATTTAGCACCACTGTTGCTAACACAAATTCTTGCCCAAAGATAGTGGCTCCGATGCTTCGTGCCCTCATAAATACCTATGAAACCACCGCAAAGATCTCCAATGATTCTGAATGTATCAAGTTTCCATGCGTGGACGGGGATTCCAAAAGCTTTAATCCATTTCTGGTCAGATTTCTGGCAAGCAATTTCAGTGCAAGCCACCGCCGACCACCACTGTAAAGAGAGACGCCGTCCATTCCAGAACCAATCCCCTGCATGGACTCTCACAACTTCTTGCCTTGAAGGAAGTTCGAACAGGAACTGATTATGAGACATCGGAGTCACTCTCATACCAGCACAGATCCTCCATCTATTCACAAACCATTTCTGGATAACTTCTTGATTTGGACTGTAATTGAACGGATCATTGAAGGTACCCACCAAGCACCTAGCAAGAAAATGATGACTCTCACCACCCGAGTCAACTGAAGTAGCATTGTCCACCTCCCTCGTTGTAGCCTTTGTTAACACCGTCCACTGAGCAATCTTAGCCGTGTCAACATATGACTTTGTCTGTTGAGTATAAGTTGGTCTATATCTGTTTGTGGACCGCTTTCCCAGAAAGTGGATGATTTTATCGGCTATATCTCCCCAACCCATGTTGAAAACAGCTTTAAGGATGATTACAAATTTCTTATTGTCCCCCAACCATGTTTCAATGTGAATGAACCGCCCATAGTAGTTGAAATTAACAAAAACTCTGTAATAGTATGTTGTGATTTCCACCCCCATCGTCTGTAATAATTCCCTGCCCTTTTAGATGCTTGCTTGAGTGCTTCACATACCCTCCGGAGGTTCTCCTCATCTATTCTGATTTTGCATGAAAATATTTTGCCCCTTTCGATCCAATCAAACCACCCCTCGCCCGAGTTGATAAGCTCAAAAGATTTAACGCCTGAAATAAAAAAGATCTTGTCCTCCGTGATGAAAAAGTAAAGAAGCTTGAAAAAAGTGAGAAAGATCTTGTTCTCATTACTGAGAAATACTTCTCTTACGTACTTATTGAAAAAAGAAGAAGAAAAACTTCTCTTACACATCTCAGAACTGGAAAGTATAAATGAAGCTGGCCCGCATATATGTGCTACCATTTCCACTTTTAACCTTAAGAAAAGAGAAAACATAGATGCCCCCAAGGATAAGTTCAAGTGACAAATGTTGTAGGGCTCGTTGCTTAAGTCAAAGGTTCAAGTTGTTTACTCAATATTTAGAGTTGAAAAACAGAAACCCTAAGATGCTCTCAGGCACTACTCCCGAGGCATCTCTGTACCATGAATCCTAGGATTCTATCACCACCCACAGATAGCCACCCCCATCACGACCAAATCCCAGAAAAATCTCCGACAGACATCCTCCCACGCGCGGCCCACTTCCGGCGACCTTTATGCCATGCGCCGGTGCGTGAGGCAATTTCCGGCCAGATCTCGTCTGGTCGCCTTCGGACAGCCTCCTCACGAGGCTATTCCGAGCCTACCCATCTAAGTTTCTCCAAAATCCGACGACTTTCACTATTTTCCGGTGACGGGGGAGGTTTTTTCCACCAGATTTCAAATTTTCTTCTTCATTCAGCCTTCTAGAAATGATGGACTCTACAGAGAGAAACTCCTACTTCTCTCTAGAATCTAGAAAACTAGAAAAAATGTCTTTTATCAAAGCTTCCTCTTGGCCAACTCTAGAACTTGAGGGAAGATGTCATCGAAAGCTTGACGTAGGGCAGGAACCGCACTTCTCGCTGTTTGAGGAGCACACTCTTAGGCGCAAGGGTTTCTTGAAATCTTGGCTGATTGGATCTTTCTCCAAATGGGTTGGTTCTCCAGAGGCTGTTAGGAATTGAGCAGCAGATGCATGAAACGTCAATGACAGGCTGAAAATAACGCAACTGGGGGATACACAATATCTTTTTCGATTTCTCGACGAGTCTCAAGCTTCAGAAATTCTTGATAGAGGAAACATATGGTTTGATGGAACTTTTTACATCTAGACAGATGGGTGGAGCACGATGGGTGTCTTGACCATCATTTTACCGGCGAAACATTGGTGGTCAACATGGTCGATCTCCCGGTTTGGTAGATTGGGAAAATCTGTGGGGGCTTTATTGATGTCACTTGCAGCCTACATGATCTATCGCGAGTGAGGATTGTGGTAAGGAAAGGGGGCAGAATCCCTATCTCCACTGTGGTGGAAGATGGCTACTTGAGTTATAGGGTGTGGTTGAGCCCTGAATTTCGCCCTATCTTTATGCTTGTGATAGTGGCGGAAGAAAAGGGAAGGTCAAATAGAAGGGTGGGGAGGGGTAATCAGTCTCTGAGGGGAGGGGATGGCTCACCTGATCAGTGGTCTAAGCCAAAATCAGATGTTAGATCGAGAAGAGTCGAGAGGTTTGAATTTGGGAAAAGAAGACAAAACTTCAACAGGAGGGAAAGACATGAATGAGTTAGTGATGCGGGCTGGAAAGGTAGAATGGGCCGGTCATCTTCTAATTATCCTAGGGCCAGACAAGTTTTCAGCAAGTATAGGCCTAGACCTCCTTACATGGGCCCAACAACTTTTCCCAATTCTATTAGAATTGATCCTAAGGGGCCCAAATTATTTCAAGCCGCTTCTGTTAAGGCTCCTAAGCATATGGGAACAATCGTTCTTCCTTCTTCTACCAATGGTGCTACACACAGTGGCATTTCTGCACCAAGCTCTAGTGACCTTCGCCCTTCTTCGATGGTCGCTGCTTCAAGGGCGACACCGGCTATAGATGGTGCTGTTATTCCACGACCTCCCGCCTCTGATGGACCCAGCTCCATCGCCCCCTCATATGCTCTAGGGCTTAGTTGTGTTGAGGCTACACTTCAAGCTTCTTCTACTTCGGGGGAAGATCGTTGAGCATGCCCCATCGGGGGAAGAGCATACTCTCCTCTTTCCTGCTACCCTACTGGTGTTCTTGGTCATTCATGTAGCAGCAGGGTGCTAATTTCAAAGATTGATACCCCTCAAGGAAATGGCGAGATCCTTTCGGCACCTAAAGTTCCTATTGCTAGCAATGCTATGGTTTTGTATTCCTCCAGTAGGGGCAAGGAAAGGGTTCATATAGCAGATGCCTGTCCAATTTCATCACGGATTGGAGGAGGGGATACGTCTTTCTGGATGGAGGATAAACTATTAAACTTTGGGAAGTTCCTTGGTGTTTCTTTTGAAGGGAAGGAAGATAGGGTGTTAGAACTGTTGAGGGAGATTAAGCAACAATCTTGTTATGATAGTGCAAGGAGGAAGTTGGGTCAAGGTGTTAAGCAAAATAATTTAGAGGATGTAGTGGTATACCAGAGAAGGGGTTGGGTGTGTGACAGGGAGGAAGGGAGCTCGGTTAGAGGGGGTGGGGAGAAGGGGGATATCATTTTTTATGGAAGTTAAGATTCTTTTATGGAATGTGAGGGGGATGAATGACCCAAACAAAAGGGCCATCATCGAAGTGGGAGTTAGAGAGTGGGGTACTAACCTAGTTTACTTTCAGGAGACAAAAATGGAAGATTTGTCGGATGTGATTGTGAGGAGTGTCTGGGGAGGTAGTTGGGTAAAATATGACTGGGTTCCAGCAGTGGGAAGTGCCGCGGGCATTCTTCTAATATGGGATGATAGAAGCTTGGAGGTAAAGGAGATTAAGAAGAGAGTTTTTTTTAGCAGCTCTTGTCAAAGATAGAGTGAGTGGGGTGGAATGGGGATTTTGGGGATTGTACGGACTGGTAGGAGAAGGGTCCAAGGTGTTTTTTTGGGAGGAACTGGCCAATATGATGGGGAATGGGATATTCCATGGGTTCTGGGGGAGACTTTAACACTATTAGATTCTCGGAGGAGAGATTAGGGTGTAGTATGATTTCGAGGGTCATGGAGGAGTTTTTTGACTTCATCAATGATCACTTTCTCATTGATCTTCCTCTGTTAGGGGAAAGGTTTACTTGGGCCAGGGCGGAGGATTTCAACTCAAGGTCTAGACTTGATAGATTTCTAATATCGCCCTCCTGGGATGAGCTGGTGCCGAATGTGCTGCAGATTCCTTTACCTAGGTTGACTTCGGATCATTTGCCTATCTTGCTAGATGGATGTTGAGGGAGGGGGTGCGTGCTCCCTTCCGATTCGAGAACATGTGGTTGAAGGTGCTAGGATTTCGATGACAAGGTGAAAGAATGGTGGACAAGCTACGGGGTATCAGGGACACCTTCATTCCATCTTTCGAAGAAACTTAAATTGCTCAAGGGAGATATTATTAGGTGGAATAAGGAGGTTTTTGGGAGGGTAGAGGTTAAAATGAGGGAGCTTATGCATGAATTAGGGGATCTAGAGAGAGGGGAATGGGCGAGGGAGTTAGATGAATCTGAGAAAGAGAGATTGGGGGAGGTTAAGAGGGATATAGTCGAGTTAGCAATAGCTCAGGAGACCAGTTGGTGGCAAAAATCGAGGGCGCTATGGTTAAAGGAAGGGGATTCGAATACCAAATTTTTCCACAGGGTGGCAGTTGCAAATCGAAGGAGAAACTTCATAGAGTCCTTAGTTGTGGATGGGGTGAGGATTGAGCGAGAGGAGGAGGTAAAAGGGGCGATAGTGGGTTTTTATGAGAACTTATACAAAGAGGAAGTTAGTTGGAGGCCGACTTTGGGGGGAATAGAGTTCAACCACATAGGGGAGGGAGACAGTAAGTGGCTAGAAAGGGCTTTCGAGGAGGAGGAAGTGCACGAGGCTGTGTCGAGTTGTGCTGGTGATAAGGTCCCCCGGCCTTGATGGTTTCTCCTTGGCCTTCTTCCAGCTCTGTTGGGACACCATCAAGGGGAAGGGGGAGTTGATGGAAGCCATTGAATACTTTCATGTGAATGGTGTTTTCGAGAGAAGTATCAATGCTTTTTTTATTACTATTGTGCCTAAGAAAGAAGGTGCATCTTCTATGAGTGACTACATGCCTATTAGTCTTGTGGGGAGCATTTACAAGATTATTTCTAAAGTGCTTTCCAATAGACTCAAGAAGGTTCTTGATGTGTCTGTTTCGTCCTCCCAGAATGCGTTTGTGGAAGGTAGACAGATCCTGGATGCCGCTTTGGTGGCAAATGAACTTGTAGACTCCAGAAGGAAAAATAGAGATCCCGGCTTACTATGCAAGTTGGACCTTGAGAAGGCTTTCGACCATGTCAATTGAGAGTTCATGGATTTCATTATGATGCGGATGGGGTTTGGGGCAAGATGCAGGGGATGGATCAAGTTCTGCATTTCCTCAGTCAGATTCTATGTCCTGGTTAATGGTAGCCCGTGTGGTTTCTTTAGTAGCTCTAGGGGTCTCAGGCAAGGAGATCCCCTATTCCCCAGGTTATTCATTCTAGTGATGGATGCTTTGAGTAAAAGGATGGATCGAGTGGCTGGCGGAGGCTTCTTGAGAGGATTCTCTGCTCCGATCGGGGTGCCTAGTGCCCGAAGAGTCTCTCATTTGCTTTTTGCGGATGACACCCTAGTTTT